GTCCCCACCATGGTGTGAATATCCAAGAGCCTCTTAAACCAGAAACAGTGCAGTAGAATGGTTAAGAGTGGTGTCCATTGTTAGAGAGACCTGGATTTGCATCTTGTTTTTGCTCTATCTCAGTAGGGGAACCTCGAACCTTTGTCCTCCCAGGACCATGTTGGTTGCCTCAGCATCATAACAGGTCCAAAATGGAAGTGAAGATGGAGAACAGTTCATGGGTCACTGCACCCATTTTCTTCCTACCAACAAGCTCCGTATAATTATATGACTTAGTCTGTCCCTGCTGCTATAAGAAAATACCAAGAACTGGATGGTTTCTTAAGGGCAAGAATCTGTTTCTCACAGATCTGGGGACCTGGAAACCAAAGAGCTAGTCTCTAGAAGGTTTGGTATCTGGTGAAAGCTGTTGTGTACTTCCAAGACAGCACCTTGATGCAGTGTCACTACAGGAAGAAAGAGTGGAAGAGCAGAGGGAGGGACTGATTGCTTCCCTTGAGCCCTTTTATGAGGATGCTGACCCCATTTCTAAGGGCAGAGCCTTCATGATTTAGCTATCTCCTAGAGGCATCACTTAACATTGTCACATGGGGGTCTTAGATTCCAGCATATGAATGTAGGGAGAGGGAGACACATTAAAGCTACAGTAATGTATATGGCCATCCGCACCTACATGTGCATGCTGACTCAATGCCCACCCCACCCCAACAGCTGTACCCTGACCATCCTTTGGGCCATCCTTTGGGAAGAATTCTGGGGTCCTGTGAAGACTTGGGCATGGCCTAGAAGGGAGCAGCTAAGGTCCAAGGAATGCAATGGATCTTGCTAAATTTCAAAGAAGACAGGGCTTGTGACCTGAGGTTAGAGAGATATAGATGAAAACTGCCCTCTGTCATTGGTAAAGGTGTTCTGGTGTCAACATTTACAGTCACCTGGTACATGAGATGTATAACTTGAGGCCATTACTTGTGCCATATCTGCCTGATTTGGTAAGATGGAGAAAGTAGTGTTCACCATTGTTTCCCATGAACCCCTCTGATTGTGCTTGCTGCTCCCTTGTAATTGCCTTGTGCTGGCAATTGTAACATGGATTGCTTCAGGAGGCATCATTGGATTGTGTGGCCTGTGTTTGGCTTTCCAGCAGGTAGGAGTGTATGTGGAGACCACTTGCTCTGTCCTCCCATCTACTATGGACAGTTGTCCAGAATTGTAGCTGGCTTTGAAAGAGCAAAACTTGCATTCTGTTGCTGTAAGCTCCCCAAGATATCACCACTGCGTGATATCATTGTTTGTAACTGTGGCATAACCTGGTTTATCTCCTTTCTTGTCTTGGTTTGTCTTCTGTTGCTATAACCAAACATCAAGGCCTGGATAATTTATAAAGAATGAAAATTTGCTCAGCTTATGGCTTTGGACTCTGGAAGGTTGAAGATCAAAGGGACAGCACAAGGTGTCCCTTGCTGTTGAGGAGTCTCTGCAGGGTCCCACTGTGTATAAGAGGCATCCATTTGGCCAAGAAATGCATACAATGCACAAAGCCTGGCTGACTGGGAGAATAGGCCAATTCTAGAGACACCCCAGCAACCCACAGGTCTTATCTCCATCTGGTCTCACCACCTCTTAAGCCTTCACCACGGAGATTAAGTTTCAACAAGAGTTTTTCTGGAGACAGACAAGTCATAGCAAACATTTTGGGGTTTCTCTGAGTATCATACAAGAAATGTATGCATCTGGTATTTGTCCTAGGATAATTGAAATTATCATGTACACCTGCTACAAACAAACTAATAAAACAACAAAAAATGCCAATAGGGAGTTTGGCAGTAATGAGACCCTGCATGAGATGCCTGCACCCCATTTCACAGTGCCTGAGTTTGAGTCCTGGCCTCACTCCCAATTCCGGCTTCCACATAATATTCCACATAATACACACTGTGGAAAGTACCTGGGTCCCTACCAAACATGGAGGAGACATAGCCTGAATTCAGAGACTCTTACTTTCATTTTATAGAGCCCTGGCTGTTGTGGGCATTTGAGGAGTGAACCAGAGGATGGAAATAATTTCATTTTTTTTTTCTCTCTCTCCTTCAAAGAAAATAAATAAGAAAAAACCCTTCAAGGGAGGGAAGATGCTGATCTTTAGTTTCACTTTCCTTTACGTACTTTTGTAGGGAGCCAGACACTACTTTCTATTTTACCTGAGAAAATTTATAGTTACCAGAGTACCCAGGGTGAAGAGTGCTTTCTGTTTAGAAAGTGAGTCTCCAGCCCTGGACCGAAGGATGGACACAGCCCCAAGTACTTGTGAATCTTGAGAGTTCAAGTATTGATGACATCATCCTCCAGTGCTATTCTTAGCACCAAAGCAATGAGCATAATGGCAGTCTTTGTGCTTTAGTGTGAAATGTGAGTGTTATAAACTCACTTTAAGACTACACAGAGAGCCAAGTCTCAAAGACATGACTTGGAGGAAGCCAAAATTTTATTACAGAGGTGGCAAAATAAATCTAGAGAGACTTTTAAAACATCTATTTACTGTACAAGATATTTTAGCCCAGCTGCTAACAAGTAGCCACTTTGCTACTGTGCACTGGATACTTCTAAGCAGTTATGACTTGCGTACTTGCTAACAAGGCAACAAGGACAATCATGCAAGCAGGTGGAGAAAACCTTCAGGTACCGTAGATTTTCTAGCTACATTTTTGTTACACTTGAATTCATTCGGAAGCCTACAATAAGAGACGAGGTACAAAATGTTTCATGTTTGGCTTGGACAGACTATGGCTCCTAGCAATTAATGCTCTCAGTCACATTAAGCATTCAATAATGCTTTGTGACATTACAGTATTTCCTGTTACAGATCAATTTTGTAGCATTTGTTCCTAATCGGACTTGAAATGTTACCTAGAAACAAAATATGTTTTCCTTGAAACAGTCAGACCTTATTAGAAATCTAAGGTTTTACAAATCACCATGTTAACAGCTATGTCCCCTAGCTAGGATTTTCTTTCTTTAAATAGTGTTAAAGTCAGGCCCAGAAGCTCTGAACTCTTTGAGGATTATTCTTTTTATGTGCACTGACTTGAAAGGAAAAAGTTAATGCTTCAAATATATTTAACATCTTACTATGTACAATTTAATAAATCAGCCAGGATTTCCTTGGATTGGGGGTAGGGGAGGGAGTACTAGCACATTTTAAAAGTGTTATGCTTATAATTAAAATACAAGATGTTATTTTCTCATTTTTAAAGAAAAAAAAAAGATGTCAAACTATTTCTCGGTAAGAGGAGTTTTCTTATTTTCTGCCCACATCACCATGTGCTGTGAGAGAGTACAAAGATAAAAACATGGAAAATTTAGATACTTGGAGCAGTATCACTGCATGCCAAGTAGCAGAGATTTTTGGAGCCTTGGAAAACTTGGCTTTGAGGGCTAGCCCTGCCATTTAATCACTGTGGAATCCTGGGGAAACTGCTCAAATTTCCATACAACAAATGTTGATTGTTTTTGCAATTTTTTACAGAATTTTTTTTCCCAAAAAGAATATTCCCAGGGCTGATGTTGTGACACAGTGGGGTAAACCGCTGCCTGTGACACTGACGTCCCATAAGGGTGTCAGTTCAAGTCCCATCTATTATTTCCTATCTGATTTCTGCATCCTGCTGATATGCCTCGGAAACTGTGGAAGATGGCGTAAGTGCTTGGGCCCTTGCACCCTTATGGAAAACCTAGGTAGAAATACAGGCTTTGGCCTGGCCTGGCTCAGCCTGACCATTGTAGCCATTTAGGGAATGAACCAGTTACACTGTCTCTGCTCTTTGCTCCTTCTGTTTCTGTTTATCAGATAAACAGGCCAATTGAACCTTGTTTTTAAAAAGTTTATTTCTATTTTTAAACCCAACAACCCCTTTTCAGCAAGTCATTACTGACACTTAATGTGTGCCAGACTGCTCAGCTGTAGACCCTGGGCAACGGAAGCAAGTCAGGCTGGGTTGCTGCTCTCCTCCTCCCGAGTGCTGGCTCGGAGGAAATAGGCAATGTTCTTTGCAAGATCATGTCGAACACTGTAGTGGGTTGAGAGGTGGCTGCAAGAAAGCCGAACCACCTCAGGACCTCCTGCCTTCCCCAAACCATTTGAACCTGACCTTCCATGAGGTCCTGGAAGATACAATGAAGGTCCTCAAGATATCGTCCTAGATTGTGCAAACAGGCCCCAAGCACAATGACAAGTTGTCCTAAGAGAAACATCAAAGAGAAACCCAGAAGCAGGGAAGGCCACATGAGGGCCGAAGCAGAGACGCAGCCACCAGCTGAGGGGCTGCTAGAGTCACTACAAGCTGCAAGGAACAAGGGAGGTTTGTCCCCTGGAGCCTTCGGAATGACTCCTACTGCAGAGCTGAGGGCAGCTGTCCATGGCTGTAAACTACCCACTTCATGGTCATGTGTGCAGGAAGCACAGCCCACACACACAGTTACGGCTACCAAGGAGAAAATGGAGACATGGGATCGGGACTTGGCGGGGGTGGACTTGGGTGGGGGGGCAGCGAGTAGTGGCGTCAGGTCTCACTGAGGAGTTAGCCTGAGTCACTGGAGCACGTGGGAGAGGGATGTTCAGAGGGAACAGCAAGTGCACACAGTCGGCCTGTGAATAACCTTGCTGTGTTCAAGGACAGCACTGGGATATGGGAGGGTACACGGGAGGCTGGGAGCCAGTGCTGGTCAGCTGGGAAGCACTCAGAGACCCTGGGAAGAAGTACGGCTCTTCCAACTGAAACCTAAGAAATGTTCCAGAGTTGGAAAGATCTGCAGATTCCCTAGCTGCATAGACAAAGAAGGAAATTATAGACATTTATTAAATTAGTAAATATGGGTATGGTATGAACATCCTAGTAATTGGGTTTAGACAAAAATCCATTTATTGTTCAATTCACAGAACCCGCTGACCTGTATAATTCTACATGATGTGACAACACGACCTGAGAAGGCAAGACACCACAGGACACAGTAGAAAACCCTCCAGGGGAGCCTTTATTTCATTCAGTTCTAGTTTACAAGGTGGCTTTTCAAACTGACTGTGCCTGATTGGTTGGTAGCACAGACCCTAACCCCTTGGTAGAACTCCTTGGCAGGCCCCAGGATCCTGGGATCTCTGGATGGGTGGAATGGGATCCAGAATGCCATTGCCTCCTTCCAACTGGATCCTGAGGAAATGGATGTTGTTCCAGTCACTACTTCAGAGATCAGACCTAGTGCATTTACATGCTGAGAAAATGTATCTTTCGCTACAACTCCTGAAATGCCTAATGTTCATCTGTTCCTGACCTATAAAATTCCTTTCTTTTTCACATTATCTTTCCTGATTGCTTCTTGTTATAAAAACAAAATAAAATGTGGGTTTATTGTGCACATTAACACGTCCATATAGAAAAACCCACAGAGGTTTTATATACCACTTACAGTGACAGCTCAAGATAGAAAGTGAAGAAGAAAGAATATGAAATATTAGACTAGCTGTGAAATAAGATGACCTAAGATGATACTGCTTCTGCATCCCAGAATTTTCCTGCACCAATTTTTGTACAGGGAACAAATGTCAAAAATCTGGTAGTTAAAAATATACAGATGCCATCCTGGAGACTGTCCCTCCCCAGACCCTCCCAATTTCCAAATAACAGGGATTTTTTTTTTCAAGTTTTATTCCCTCTTGAAATTGCACAGAAAAAAAAAAATATGTGATATTGTAGCAGTGTATCCCTGTAAAGAACTGCAATTTACCAAGACCTTAACGCATCTTGAGAACTATCTTACTGAAAGAATAGTGATGGAGAAGAAAACAATTTTTACCCCCATCTGAGGTATCAACTTGATTTTGGGGGGATACAAATGCTATGAATCAGACAACTGTAGCAACAGCCATCCATGACAACAAAAGCAAGCTTGTGATGGTCTCTAGGTTACTGTGAGTTGTCTATTAAAGTTCGTCGTGATTTTTGGTGAGGTCTTCCCCATAATTGGTAGCTTGACTTCCAACAAACATGTTCCAGTTCTCCAGTATCTCCTCTTTCGTGAGCTTCTCATCCTGTGGGAGAGAGGATACAGTTGTCAGGAATTGCTCGGCGTGATAACTGTGGCACTGGATGCACTGGCAGTGTCTCAGGTATCACCTTTAATAATTCAGCACCAGGACAGGTGTTTGGTGGAGGAGTTCAGGTGCTGCTTGGGATGCCCATATCCTGTATCACAGTGTCTGGTTCAAGTCCTGGTTTCACAGTGATTTAGCTTTCATTCATGGGGGTGGTGGGGCGGGCAGCAGGTGACCTCTCAAGGCCACCCATGTGGAGGTTCCCTATTGAGTTCCAGACTCCTAGTCGGAGCCAGCCCCAGCTGCTGCAGGGCCTTTGGGGAGTGAATGCAGAGATGGAAGATAATACTCTCTCCCTCAAATGAAATGAAAACAAAATAATTCATTTAAGAATTCCAGAAGTTGCTGGACCTCCTTCATCTCCCATTTCAGCCCTGCAGAGCTCCCAGCTGGAATAGCCTCCTGTGAGGAAGCTACACTGAAGCTCATCAGGTGAGTCCCTGGGTAGTTGAGCAGCTAGAATCCATGTCTGTCCAGAGGCAGTGTGGCCCACCCAAAACAGGCCCGAGAATTCGGCTTCCCTTTCAAGGTCTAACTCTGCAGCCTGAGAATTTGGAGCAATAAGTAAACTGGTAAGAGGTGAGGCATTTTCTTCTTCTTTTTTTTTTTTATAAATCTTATTTATTTGAATATTTTGAAATCTTAGGCACTAGATCTGGAAATGTGAGCTTGTCTGAGCATTTCTGGACTTCAGCAGGGTAGAACTCCTCGTGCCTAGCACTATCTGGTGACCAGGGTGGGTACTGTGGTACAGCAAGTTAAGCTGCCACTTGAGATACCTGCTTATGGTCTTGGAGTGCCTTGGATCAAGTCCTGCCTCCACTTCCGCACCAGCCTCCTGCTGATGCACACCCTGCAAGGCAGCAGGTGATGGCTCAAGTACCTGCGTCCTTGCCACCCACATGGACGACTCAGAAGTTCCTGACGAGGTCTAGCCTGGCCATGGCTGTTGCCAGGGGCGAAGCAGAGGTTGGAAGATCTCTCTCACTATCAGTCTCTCTATATCTCTCTCTGCCTTTATGTGTATAATAACAAATATCTTGAACAAATATTTGGTGACTGAGCAAACAGATGAACAAGTTCCTCTGAGGGCAATGTAGAATATACTTCTCCAATCCATGTCCCACCAACAAGAGTTAGGAGTTAATGGTTCTGCAGTCCTAGGCATGACTGAGGGCAAGCCTGTGGCCCCTAACAGGCTCTCTAGGAACATCTGGACTGCAAGAATTCCCATGGCTTATTACTGCCTTGGCTCAGATCTCCAGGGCTCCACTGCAAGGCAACAATGGAAAGTCAATAAGGACACCGTCACAGGCTCACACTATTGCCAGAGAAGCAAACAAATCTAGTCTTATCTAAACTTTGTTCCTTCAATCAATGAGGACAGAAGCAAAGGAAATACCTTGTTCTTATCCGACTCATACACCAGGTGCCTGGCCTCGGCCTGTGCATGGTCGTAATCTTGAGGGAGGATCCAGTGGCGAATCTCATCTTTGTCCAACTTCCCATCCTTGTTCAGGTCCCGGAATTCATCGAACTGCTCCCGTTCTGACACAACCCAGTCTGGCTCAGGGCCATTCTCCTCGTGGGAGAACATGTCCGCTGGAAGGGAAAGTTGCTTTAAGTTACAAAACAGAAATCTCAACTTGCCGCATTTCTGAAGGAAGACAGCCATCAACAGACCTAACTCACCTTGCCAGAGGACAGTTTCTTGGGGCTCATAATGCAATGCCTGAGCCCCTGGGAAGGCCACAGGATAGAAAACACAGACACAATCTCAGGAGCCAGAAGGAGAATTCCAGCTCTTAGTTCAGCGACTGAGATTCAGCTACCTGATTCAAGTGGCTGAGCCTTACGTTTCCTTGACTACACAAAGCAGAAAGTTTTACAAATCATAATGAAGAGCAAATAGGTCATTCACATGAATGCCCTTGGCAGCCAAAGCCTGGCACAAAACCAACACAGACACCAAGATGGAGAACTCTCCAAAGTCCAGATAGGGCACAAAGCGTTCCCAATACATTTTCCCAATTGATTTGATCAAAGAAGTGACGTTGTTACTCCCATTTCACAAGTGAAAACATGCATGGCTTTATCAAATGAACCATGGAAGGATGAGCTCAAGGCTGCGTGGGAACACGGTCATTCTGCTTCCAACCCAAGTGTTCTTAACCAATGTTTAGTGCTGCTGTTGTGTATATCTTGCCATTTTATTTCATACGGAACAATTCTCTAAAGCAGATCATTATCCCCACTTTACAAAATGGCAGGAAAATGAAATGGAAGGAGACATTTATGCATCGCTTATTTTAGCATCGGGTTTTGCTGGAAAAGAAAAATGCTGGGGGCAGTTTCTCTTTAATGGAAGCACAGTTTAGAAATGTCAAATGCTGAAAAAAATGAAAAAATAAAACCCTCCTTGTAAAAAGTTTCAAATAGGAAAAAAATGTTATAATGAGAGTCAATATAGAGAAAATTTTTCATACCAAAATTTCAATATGAGCTTGTCATATACTATCTGAAAATCCCACCGTGAACCATTGTTTAAAAATAGTAACTTGACTGGATGCAAATCTCTCTCTTTTGAACCATTGTTAAATATATGAAGTAGAAAGCTGGGATTACAGTGTCACATGATGCAATGTAATCAATAAAAAACTATAAAAAAAGAAAGCTGGGATTACATCTGTTAAAAAATCAAACATAGAAATCAGGACTAAGAAAAAAACTTCAATATGCAACATGCTCTGTGCTAATGCTTCAATACAGAAAAACACAAGAGAAACGTCAGGTGGTGCAGATAATAATGAAGGAAAAGCAGATGTGAGATGCTTGCTCCAAGGGGACTATCAGACCCATGCCTGGCAAGGGCATGTTGTATTTGAGAAAGGATAATCACATACATCCTGAGCTACATCCAATTCTCCAAGGATGAGTGCTACTTACTCCCATTTTTCAGATGAGGAAAACCGAGTTCACATAGCTACTAAGTGAAGTAGCCAAGGTTTTTAATTCTAGTACCTTGTCCATCATCCCACACCACCATCAGCCCTGTCTAGAGAGATGTCCCTGAAATGAAGTCACTTCCAGGGCAAGTCAGTTCATCTTATACCCATGATAACAAGTCACTCAGAATTCAATTTCCAGGCTTCATGGCCTTCTCTTTCTCTCCAGTGCCACATGTTACAGAATGGAGTATTTCTTTTAGGCAAAGCCATTCAAAGACTTTTGTCCCCGATTTTGCACCATTTCAATGCAGAGTTCAGGAGGGCTGGGAAAAGTACACACTTTTAATCAAAAGCTCCACATTGTTTGTTTTAATCCTTCAGTCTCTTCTGTCAGCCTAATTCCATCACTGCTTGGCAGCCGTGTGTGCACCCGGCCAGAGGAAGGCTCTGCTGCTCAAGCCGGTGATGTGGCTGCCAGCACCTGCTATGCTGCAAAGGTGCTGCCACCAAGATCACTTTAATTACTGTGGTGAGAGCTACCTGTCTGCTACCAATGACAGACAGGGAACAGAGTTCAGTTTCTCACAATCAAAAAAAGCTCCTAATGATTGGAAGCAACTCTGTCCATCGTTGCCGAAGGCACCTGTTCTTAGGTATACAGTGGCAAAATGCCACTGGCCATGGAAACGGAGACAGGGCGGCCCAGTCTCTGGCTATTCATTCGGAGGTAATCAGGTGCTTCTGTAAAGTGTGTACATTAACTGATATAAATCTCATCCTTCTTCCATAGGTCAACCCTTGATCAAAATTTCTCTACCTCCCTGGGATGGGAAAAACAGACCGGCATGAGAAAGCAGCCTGTGACACGAGTTACATGCCATGGTGGCTGGTGGGGGTCAAGGGGAAATTTCCCCGCTGCCACTCAGGGCTCCTGGGAAGCCCCCACCCAGCAAACATGACTTTTGAGCCAAGGTCCCCAACCCTGAGTCTCAGTTGGTCAGTACTCAATTACCTGAAGACACCATTCTTGGCATTGCTATGTGGAGCCCTTCACAACATGCTAGGTCCCTGCCCCCACTCCGCCCCAAAGAAAGGAAAATCCTGTGGGCCATGCTGTTGGGCAGCTGTCCGCTTTGCAAAGGGATGGACAAGAGGGCAGCTTTGGAGTCTCCAAGCAGTGACACTGACCACAGCTGCGCTGACACAGCTTCAGGACTCCATTATCATGGTCTGATTCTGGAATGTGCTCCAGCCTCAGGCAACTGTGGGCATTCCAATCCCATTCTCCAGTGGAGCCAGCGGGTGGACAGTCTGGCAGGAGGTAGGGAGCCTGTTGGTCTCTTCCTCAGTGAGCACATTCCTGATATTACAGTACTGGCGTGGATGTGACACATTGGGCTGGAATGCCCTCCACACTGGGAGGCCACAGCAGTGCTACCTACAGCCTTGCACCTGTTGTTCAGCAACATCTGGGGAAAGTGGCCAGACATGGGGGTGGAGGACTGTCTCCCAGGCAGCAAAGCTGACAGGGACTCCAGGCTCAGCACTCACCAATATACTCATCCTGATCCACAAAGCCATCCCCATTCTTGTCAATGTCTTCCAGAGTTTCCTAGGAGCAAAGGGAAAACAGAATGTGAGATGAGCCATGGGCTGGAATTCAAGCTGCGAGTCCTATTGTCCTGCTCTGTCCAGCTTCAATGGTTGAATGCCTGATGACCTCTGGCTCACCTTCCTTACCTCCCTGGGCATCAGTTGCTTATCTGTCAGTGGTTTCTGTGCCTACACCCTCCACCCCACAATTTCAGGAACAGAGCACTCTCTCTTCCTGGGTTGCTTTGATTATATCAAGTAAGTCTGCCAAGTCAACCATCTCCTCCTCCTACCTGTTCTTTCCTTGAGGGACCTGCCAGGAACCCAAAGTAAGAACTATAAGGTTAGCTGATCTCAGACAGGATTCTAGTGCTAACTAGACCATGAACTCTGAGTTGGTGTCTGAGAAACAGGAAACAGTGGATAATTAAAAAATAAAAGTAGCTAGTACTGACTTTTAAGTATGCTCTGTTTTTAGTGTATCTGACTCCTTAGGTAGGTTTTTTATTTTCCTTTTGTTAGCCATAGTCAGTAATTCAGTGAGCGTACAGTTCAATGAACCTGAAGACAATCTACTTGAGGATCATTTTCCATCTTTGTATTCTTCTGGCAAGGGACCTGATGGTTGTTGGGTGATAAACAAACGATTCTTAGAGCCACAGCCCAGCCATTAGGGTCACGGTGCTTATGGAGATGAAGCCTGATGCAAAAGCTGGACCCATCCAACCACTAACTGGGTCCCTAAAATAACCCATGGTTGATTAGAAACCAAAGCTTTCACCACCTACTTCCCAGCACCAGGGCAGGTGGAACTGGATCAAGACATGGGCCCAGGGAACAAGTGATGGAATGTATTTGATTGCCATAGGGGAAAAACAAAAGAAATGCGACACAGCAAGACAGGAAATCGCTACATTCAGAGCCTACACAGCTACGTCCCACCCTAAGCCTGGAGTCTGATCCCTCTTCCTTCCAAAGACCCACCACAAAGGCAGCATCCTACCTAGCCATACTACTTAACTTATTTAGGTTTCCACATGGTTTTAATAATCCAATACATCCTTGTTTCAGAGCCTTTGTCTAACTCCCTTAAAGTGGAAAAACACAGCAGTTGAGCTAACTGCTCACCAAACTCATGTTCTCTCTAAGAACATATCTGAACTCTCTTTCCCAGGTTCCTCATACCTAGGCAGGGCCAGATTGGAATCTAAGCAGAAGGGGCGTGCCAGTCTATAGCCAGAGAGCCAAGATGTGTGGTACCCTCTCCTCCTGTTCTCCTCAGTCCTCCTGTTCGCCTCTCTCACAGCTGGCTATTCCCAGGAGGAGCCTGAGGCCACAACACAGAAGTGACTTTGGTATCTGACAGTACTCAGAGGGGAACTGTCAAGGTGATCTATGTGGCTAAGACCATCTATCCTGGACTTTAGAATAAGCAAGAAGCAAGTTTCCATTGTGTTCCCTGAGCACTGCTAAAGCTGCCTATCACAGCAGCCTGTCTGCCCTGGCTACCATCCTGGGTACACAGGTACTCCAGTGGCCCCACTTCAGAGGTCTCCAACTTTCTTCTCGTCATTGATCTTACCAGCACCACAATTTCCTTCATATGTTCAAACTCCTCGGGGTGCAGAAAAGCTGTGAACTCCTCCCGAGTGGCCGTCAGGTCCCCATCGACGTCTGCAGCCTTGAACCTCCTCTCGTCCCGTGGCAGCATCTTCTTAAAGGTGTGATGATCTGAAGAGTCAGAAAACTCCGTGGGGTTCCCTGCAGGACAGACACAGAAACGTCACAACTGTGCTGCTAAGGAAAGCACTTCCTTCCGGGTCACCCATCCTTGGAGCCCCAGTGGTCCACACTGGATGCAAGTGCCTGCCCTGCCAAGTTCTTTAAAACCTTTCAGCTAAGGATGTCTCTATTGTCTGGCCATCCAAGCCACCCCATGACCTAGGCCATGGTGACTTACTAGGAGCATTAACACCAATGGTTAAGAGCACAGCCCAATGCCCTACTTCTTTTTGCTGCACTCTGCTTTCATCATGTCATTCCTTGATTTATAACATTCAAAAGCTCCCTGGTGCCCATGACATCTTGTCTAAATGTCCCTGCCTGGCTTTCAAGATCCCCTGCATTTGCCCATGCATGCATGTTCACTCCTCACTGTCTTTTCCATGCACACAACAGGTTTGCATCCCAGGGCTTTTGCAAACACTCCCCCATTCCCTTAGTCTAGCCTCCTTTATCTTGAAGCCCTGGCCATCACTGAACACACTGCTACATCTGCACCCTTCCATTGGCCCACATTCTCCATGAACAATTCTATTTCTCCCAATGTAAGCCCATTTTTCAAGGCCCGGGTCTCAAAGCCCCCTCTGTCAGGAAGCCTTCCCTGACTGCTTCAGCCCACTCTATCCTTGCTATCTAGAATTCCACAGCTTACACACATCCCTTCTGTTCTCTTTGTGTGTGCCCCTGAGAGCAAACTCAAACATACTGGCAACCTAAAAGCTTTTTGGAAACAAAGAGAGACAGAACTCCCACTTGCTGGTTTAATCCCTGAATGCCTACAAGGTCAGGGAGCCAGGAACTCAATGTAGGTCTCCCACATGGATGGCAGGAACCCAATCACCTGAGCCATCATCACAGCTTTTCAGGGTCAACATCAGCAGGAAGCAGGAGTCAGCATTGGGGTGAAGGACTAAACCCCAGCTATCCAATTGGAGGTGTGGGTGTTCTAATGGGCAGTTTAGCTGCTAGACTGGATGTCTGCCCCAGGATATTATTAGCTCCTCACGCCCCCTCCCCCACTGTATATACTCTGAGAAGCAACTCAGTACATTTCTTAGTAAGCAGAAGATGTTACACAAGCAGCTTCTCCTTAGGAGGTTGTGACATCGCTGCAAAGGGTGTCAACACAGCCAGAAGAAAGTAGCTCATCTGCAGGAAAGCTTATGCCCAGGCTCCAGCTGTGTGATCCCTCTACAGAGCTCCTTACCTAAGTAGTAACCGTAGGTGGCCTGTTTGTATTCTTCCCAGGAAATTTTATCATCCTTGTCCCTATCATAATCCTTCCAGACTTTGGCAACATTATCATAAATGTATCTTTTCTGCACCCTTTTGATCCAAACTTTCAGCTCCTCTGTGGTGACATAGCCATCCCCATCACTGTCGATTCGATCAACAATCTTCCTGCAGTAAGAAGACAAAAAAAATTATACACATCCAGATTCATATGATCTTGGACCAGAAAGCTGGCACAGTCTAAGATGCACAAAAGTGTACAACAGAATCATTGATGCATTGGTTCCAAAAGGATCAGAGAGGTGAAACTTTTCAAGTGGATACACTTCTCCTGCCTCACTGCCAGTGGCAGACACTACTAAGGGGTCACGACCCTCCGTCCTGATAAACCTACACAAGACCGCAGAATTCTTCCCAGGGCAGCACCCTTGGGATAGCCATTTCCAACTGATCCAATCTGCTCCACAAGATAAGCCTGTGGGGTTCCCCTGAGGTAGTCCAACTCCCTTACTGTAGAGCAATGGGAAGTGAAGGCCACAGAAGTCAAGTGATCACACCCTTTTTGTGTAAATGGGTAAGCACCCAGGTTTTCTGGTTCCAGGGCCCAATCCAAAAAATGGGAAAGTCTGGGGAAACCTAAGAGTAAGTTTTTTCTTAAGAAACAAAAATGAGAACAGATTTGACTGTTCAAAGCACAAAATGTCAGGGATGAAAGGGCGTGGGCACCACAGAAGCCAATGGAGAAAGCTGACCAAGCACGCAGCCTCACTGCCAGTCCCTTGCAGCTCCCAACACAACTCAAGAGCCAGACCTCCCGCCATCTCCAGCTCCACAGCTGGCCAGCCCACTGGGCTCCCCCAAACTGCTGGGCTCACAGAAGAGGCTTCAGGCCAGGGACTCACTACTGTCCATCTCTAGGCCAGACAGTCCCCATCTCCTTGGAAACCTCAGTGGCACCCACACTCTACTGCTTAGAATTAGTAAGTTTCATGTGCATTCACTTCTCTACTTGTGGCTGAAATTCTATGAACTCCAGTGGGAGTTCTATGCCTTATCAACATAAATTCTAATTGGCAGTTAGTTTTCTATTAAAAAGGGAGAAAGAGTCAGTTTCACAGTGGGATGGACAGAACATGCTGTAGCCATACTGGGGACAGGAAGAGTGAAGGCGGGAGATTGAATAAACATCTTCCTCCTCTTAAGGAGCCCAAGCACCTCTCAGCTCCAAAACAGCCCTTCATTTGCAATTTTAACAGATCTCCAGACCAAGTGATGGAGCTGCAAGTACCTTCTGGCTTCTTTCCAGGAACTTCCAGCCACACCCAGCAGAATCTCTCCACCCTGCATAGAGCTGAGCTTACCTAGAGTGTGCCAGGCACTGCTGCAGTCCTGGCAATACCACAGTGAGGTGCCCGATGGTCAGCCCAGACCAAATGAGAAACAGGCCATGACTGGAAACTTCAGACAACACATCCCTTTTCTGGAGGGAAGGACAACTAACATGTCTCCTTCCCCCAAATGCAGGGTGTAGTAAAATCTGACATGTAGCAGGGGCTCAACAGATAAATATGTTGGAAGAATAACTAAGATCTTAGCATGCCTCTTTAAGGATCTTAAGAGTGAGATGTTGGGAGAGGTCAGCATAATATAGAGAAAGCTGAATGCTTTCATCAGAGTCCGTGGCTGCTGGCCCTGGCTCCGATGATCCATTACCTGTGCGATGGGCCAAGGACATGAGTCTCAATTTCCCTACCTGTAAACTGGACAACCTACTTCCCAAGGACTATATCGTGTGTAGGGAGTGGGGTGCAGGGAGCAACAGGACCTTTCCTCAAGAAAGCCAAAGTTCTAGATTGCTGTGGGTGGAGAACTCAGTAAACACTCGGCAGGGAACAGAATAGAGAACAGAAATGAGCAAGGTCTCTATGGCAACCCTAAAATGCCCTGGCAGCCATCACATAGCACTGAGCAGCCCTGCTGCAGATGCTGACTACCTGGCTGGGAAGGGGGGGTTCACGGCACGAGGAAGAGCCAGAAGTCAAGGTCCGGCCCTGGCCTCTCTCTGGCTTCACAGAGGAGCAAAGAAGGCACAATTTGTTCAAAGCCCGTGGTATACTTGTGTCCTAGTGCAACCCACTTCACACCTCTCTGGTCTGGATGTCCACTAGGGCCCGAGGGTTGTCACACCTTCAGAACCAAGGATCAGGGGATAGTGACAAAGTTGCCTGGATCCAGCCGCGTCCTTTCTTCAGCAGCCCAGGCTGTGATGGGACTGTTGGAACAAAAGCTGTGGACAGAGGTGTGGCTTCTTACACACTCAGCTGCACTCCAAACTGGACCCATAATTTCCAACACTTCTAGCCCACCTCTGGGCTAGGTTTGTCTTCCACATGAATGGGACATCCAGGAAGCCCCTGGTGACTCAGGCCAGACACTGGGACATTACCCTCGATTCTCCCACACCCAGGTAAGGGCAGGAGCTGCCAGTCTGCCTCTCGCATGCCTGCATTCACCTTCTCCTGCCATCAGGATGGGCCAAGCACAGGTTAGGCATTCATCACATCTTCCCTGCCCATGGTCTCCCAAAGTGCTTCAGTGCCACCCTCTGAAGGATGTGGAGGTACTTCAGTGCGGCTACGACACTTTAGCCACCTACAGGATGGCATCCCATCTTCACCAGGCTGAGGTCCTTGTGTCTGCCTTGGCTTCCCTCGCCTGTCCTTTTACAGCCTCAACACTCCTAACGCCCCAGAACAGGACTCCAGACTTCCCTCAACGAACTCTTGGGTGATGTCTCTCCCCTGCCTGGACCTCACACAAGCTCTGAATCATTCCTTTTACTGGGGTGACCCCAACCTGCTTCTGAGGTTCCTCCAGGGGTATGCACTGTGGCTTCTCCATGCCACCATTGCTTGGTACCTGGCATACAGTGGCCTTGCAAGTATTTGTTGCCTAAAAGGATGACTGGAATAATGTGTATGTGTATATATATATATATATAAATGAGACCCATACCAACTCCACAGGCACTTGTCATCACTACTAGGCTCACCTAGGCTGATGGAGGTTTTCAACCTGTCTCCCTCCTCCTTTCCAGTGACAGTGTCTAATGGCTGCCATTGACTGAATCTGTCACCAAGTACCTCTAAACAATAGGACAGACTGAACTTCTCAATGGCCCTCATTGTAGAGTCCCCTAAGGAGAAGAGAAAGTATTTCTCCAGAAAATAAAAGGTGATTGTTTCAAGGGGACTTTGAAGTTCAAAGATCTTTTTTATCTGAGCAGGCAGATGGTGCACCTACACAATAGGTGTAATTTATCCTCAGAGCCTAACTAAGCCCACTGGCATTTGGGAGCCCCCACAGGCACAGGGATGACTGTTTTCTATAGAGGATGTGAAGGGCCTCCTCTTAAAGCAGGTCCAGGGTGCCCAGTCAGCAGGGCAGGTGGGTCTGCTGGGACCAGGCTGGCCACAGATCCCCACTGTGGCAGGATTGCCTAGTAACTTTGCATGATGTCCCAAGTGTCTCCTTGAGGATTCGAGGTGGGGCCAGGGTGTCCCAGGATCTTTCTGGCTCTGGATTCAAAAGCTTTGCCACTGTCCCTGCCAGCCTCCAGCTCTCCCTCTCCCTTGCCCAACACGGCCAGAGAACTGAGTGGTTCTGTGGGCACTGCTGGGATGGACACTTGGAGACCAGTTCCATGGCTGCTCACCCCTATCTCTTATGCCTACCTGTGACTTCTCCACGACTGGCTTTTTTTTTTTAAGTCCTGACGTCAGATTTAGGGGGCAGTAGGCGAGAACACCACAGTCGAAACCTCCATCTCCTGCAGCCTTCATCCTTTCCCCATATATGTCCACCCTGCCTCCTACCCACCCCCACCCCCACTCTGCCCTCTTAGAGAAAGTCGCAGCCCCTCTCTCTGGGAATGGGGGGCAAGAGAAGTGCACGGGTGGGGGAGCACTCAAGTCACCACAGGTCCTCTCCGACAAACTCTCCTTTTGTACTCGCTCTCCAGTCCCTTCTGATGCAACCAGGGGAGGGGGCGGGCCCTCGCCGCCCTGGCTCCCGCGCTGCTGCCACGTTCTCGCCTCCCCCGAGGGAAGCCTCCAGCCGGGGCGTGGCGGCGACCTCCACGCGAGGCTCGTAGGGACCCTGCCCCGCCAGCCCCCCACGCCCCGCGAACCCGGGCTCCAGCTCTGGGGGGGCAGGGGTGCGGCCGGCACCTGCGCGGGGGGTCCCCGACCCCGTGGCCTCACCCCAGCCTCTCCTTGCTCTCCTCCGGCGTGAGCTGATCGAAGGTCTTGGAGTCCTCTTTGCCCAGGAAGGCCTCGTGGTCGTACTGGAAGCTCTGGTTATCTTCGGGCGGCCGCTCGCCCAGCTCCGAGTCGGGCCGCACCACGCGCTCCTTGCGCACGGTCGGCTTGGCCCGCAGCGTCCGCGGGGCCAGCGCCAGCGCCAGCAGCAGCCCCAGGGCGAGCCCCAGGCGGCGGCCGCACACCATCGTCCGGCCGAGAGGGCGGCCGCGAGCCAGGCTGCAGCGAGCGGCGAGAGCGGCGGCTCCGGAGCAGCGGCGGCGGCGGCGGGGAAGGGGCGGGCCGGCGTGCAGCGGCTGTGCCCGCCCCGGGAGCCGGCGGAGGGGGGCGCGTCCCGGCCGGCGCCCGGCCGCGGAGGGAGGCCCCGCTCACGAGCCCCATTGGCCGCGGCCGGGCCGGGGGACGGGCCCGCGAGGAGGAGGCCGGGTCCCCCCGAGCCACGTCGCCGGCTCGGGTGGTGGGCGCCCGGCTCGGGTTTCGCCTCCGCGGCCCCTCCCCGCGATCTCGTGCAGAGGGGCGGGCCCAGGCAAACAGGGCTGGGGACTGGAGGGCTCCTGGGAGACCGGGAAGAAGTTCTTTGTGGAGCAACAGATGGTCTTGGGCGCATTAGCTCAATGCCCCCCTATCCCAGTCACCGAGTTTCGGCGAACGCGAAGACAGGAGCCAGGACCCCCCGCTTGAACTGCCAGCCCCGCGCCCCAAGTTCAGTCCCTGACCCCTTTCACCACTCCCCCGCCCCAAGAGCTACCCAAGACGAATCCTCCCAGAGCAAAATTTGCAATCTCTGGCTACAACCCCAAGGGGCCCGGAAGGAGACCTGTCTGTCTGGACGGCGACCCCTGGAACTGGGGCGAGGAGGAAGGGCTGAGCTGGCACCGCAAGTGAGTCGGGGGTCCCTGTGCTCGGGGTCCTGTGGGCCCACGCTTGCGGGCAGCCCTCTGCCCCCTCGGTCGGCATTTCCGAGGCTGATGCTTCCGCTTTCAAAAGCTGGCAGCTCATTTCACACAAGCACTGGCTACGCGAATCCCATTTTATCTGTACGTTCGATTCGGGGGTCCTGCCGCCGTTGCGGCAGGGTCAGATCCCACCGAGCTCTGCAGTGACGGAAATGTTTGCCCTCTGGGCTGCCTGATCGGCGGGAAGTGGCGTGCTGCGCCTCGAACCCCGTACAGCAGGGGTTTTACTGAATCGGAACTGAGCCGCAGGTGGCAGACGGCTGCGTTTTGGAGTCTTGGAGGTGCGCAGCTCTCTTAGAGCCGTGATACCTTCTCACTCTCAGGGAAGCCCAGGGCCTCCATCCCAACCCCTCCCCAAAATGCACATTCCCTACCGCCTTGGAGGTTACATTCAAGATCAGTGGATCTCCTGAAGCCCCACCCAGCTGAAGAATTCCTAGAAAACTAGCCTGAGCTTGAAGAGAGAAGCCCGCCCCCCAGAGCCCCGGAAGTTTCCCCTACCTTACTTTGCGCCTTCACACCCTGATTCTTGGTATTCTAGCCAAGGTCACAAGGGCTGCTGCGCTTCTCCCTGCCGAAGGGGCGTCACGACTTTGTGGAGGGCAGCACAGATAACAACTACCTTTCTTAGCAAGTCTCCCTTCAGTCAACCAACAAGTCATTGCCGTGTGCCTGTCACCCCCTGGGCACCGGACTAGGTGCTGAGTGTCCAGTGGGGAACAAGATGATCATACTCTTTCTAGAACTGTGACCGACTGTTAATTCAGCCAATCAATCAACAAGCAACAGTTGTTAAGTGTTGGGACTCTGCTGGATGCTGCTTTGCCGAGCACCCGTGGCTTGTGAATCAGTGTGACACACGCACAAAGGCGTTTTCAGTGTTAGGGGGTGACATCCGAGGGACAGGCTTTGACTTGGGAATCAGTCAAGGAAGGCTTTCTGGAAGAAGCAACATCTAGGCTGAGACTGTAAGATGAGGTAGGCAGGGGGCATGTGGTTAAATGTGAGGATACCGCCCGATGTGAGCTGCCTGGTGGAGTTTGACCCCCGTGCAGTCCCGCTGGCCAGGCCAGTAGTGAGACAGAGGATCCAGCCGTTGGTGCCCCACCCCCACCCCGCCGCCAGTCTCAGCCGACTGGGCGTGGAATAAGTAGGTCTTGTGCGCGAGATCAATGAAGTTCCCAAGAACCAGCCTAGAGACTTGCATCTCCAGGCTTTTCTCTGAACGTGGAGACCGCTGCTCAGTGCAAAGGTCCAGACGCTTACTTGCTATGTTCTGTGTGCTGACAGGCAGGATGTGAGCTGTTCAGTTAGAATGGGAAGGGGAAGGAGGCCTGGCAGGGGCGGGGCTGAAAATAGAAAGGAATTAGGAAGGGAATGGGAAGCATGAGGTTTTGTTTTGCTTATTCACAACTTCTGCCATGGACTGACCTGGATCCCTGGGCTGAATCCAGACTCTTGGGAGTGAAGGATGGCATGCCCTTTGCCCTGGTTACAGCTGCCTGCCTGCCAGCCAGTTGTGGGTTCCAGCAACTGGACCGTTACAGAGGCAGTGTTGGCTCTATGGAACTTGCCAGAGAGTTCCGGCCCTGCTGTAAATCCTCGAGAGTTGACATCACTTCCCTTGGACTTGCCAGCATTATTTTCCTCTGCTGTCTCCCACAGGAATTTCACAAGTCCCTCATCCAAAGGATCAGGAAGGTAGATGGCACAAAACAGTGTCAGGATTGCCCTGTGTAACTGCTTTCTCACATTTCTCCCCATGTGCCTGGATGGAAAGACTGACTGAGTACCTCGTCAGCCTTCTCTGACTGAGGCACAAGATCCAGAAACCAGACAAGTGGCGTCCGGCAGAGGGCTGAACCAGTGGAAAGGAAAAGCCAAGGTTTCCCGCGGGTGAGCAGAGTGTGCTGGTTGGCTGCCTCTCCACTGACCGTAGTCAGAGCCTCCCAACTAGTGAAAAAGGCATAGTGTCTCCCATAATGCAAAGTGTGCAGTCAGCTCCGCGTCAGACCAGCAGGGCGAGGACATGGCCGAGCCACCAGAAGGGCTGGTTTTGTTTCTCCCTGAGGGAGAGCCAGAGAGGAGAAAAGTGCTTCCTTCCTTTACAGGAAGTAAAATTTCCCAGCAGACTTCCCGTTGCATGTCATTGGCCAGAGTTGTGTCAAGAACTTATGCCCGGCCTCAGGACAGGAGAGAGGAGTGACAATGCCGCGGGTGAGTGAGATCAATTAAGATTTGAACCCTGGATCAGTCTTCGAAGCACGTGGCTAGGGCTCTGCCGGTAAGAACAGCCGAGATTGGCTCTGTCTGCCACTGGGAATCCCAATGAGCCACTTTCACGTTTAAAATCACTTTGAGCATCTTTTCCTCCATCTACTACTCCACCAGTCAAAATTATATGAGCTCTTCCAGGCTAAACTCAAATGTCACCTTCTCCCTGATGTGTCTCCTCGTGCTTCTCTTCCACAAAATGCCTAGTGCCTCTGTGTCTCGTTGCTTTGGATGAATCAAGCTGCTTCGTGTGTCTTAATTCCAGTTTCCATGATGGGAATATTCACACGTGACTTCACACTCATGCCCAGACATCCAGAGATCAATATATTTATGGTCTTCTCATAGAAGTTGATCAATAGTTCACAGACTTGCTGAGAAATCGTGGACCATATCCTTTTTGTTCACCTTCATATACTTAACAATACCTGGCACAGTGACTCATTTCTAGTAGATGCCCCCCAAAGCAACTTGAATAAATAATAAAATAACAATACTAGCAATATCTACTTCTGTTCATAATGAAGTAAAGGAGGAACTGCATTGGCTCTCCCATTTGAGACAAACAGACTAAATATATGGACCAATAGTTTTCAAGACATTGGAAATCAAGCAAGGAAGGATGCTGCAGTCTGATAAGGTGAGAGCTAGAATTTGCATTAATTGCTAGATTAATTACTAGGTACTAGCACAGCGAGGAAGGACGGAGTTGGAGCATGGCTGATTCTCTGAGCTGAAAAGACAGAGGTGAGTGTCCCAAGAGGCCAAGTTGATCATAAATTTAGGGAAAGAGAACCCGAGAGAATACTACTGCATAGAAAAAGCACACAAAGACTTGCAGAGGGTCTCCTGTCATGGTACAGGCCAGTGGAAGCATGTGGGACCAAAGAATGAACCCCCTGAAGGACACAAAGGATCAGTGAATGCCAGGAGCAAAGCCTGCTCCCATCACTTAGACTGGGAGAGGCCCTAATTCATAGGATGCTATGAATTAACATCCTGTGTGAATGGTGGGGACTCACTGACCCCACGCCAATCAGGCCTCTGGAAAATGTCTAACAAGGCCCAGAAGCTCTACCTGTTTTCAAGAGCTTAACTCATCTCAGAAAAATGCTCAACAGAAGTTACAGGAAATACAAAATTATACAGCACCTAATAAGGTAAATGTCATCATTTCTAATATCCAATCAAGGAAGCAAGTCAGGAAACCATAATGAAAGTAATTAATCAACAAAACTGACCTAGAACTGACATACCTGTGAGAATTAACAGAGAAAATTCTCACAGTAATCATGATAATTATATTCAACACTTTTGGAAAATTCAGACGAAGTCATGGAAAACCAATAAATACAAATCGGAAGTCTAGAGATATATTTGATATGAAAATATACCAGGACTGGGGCAGGCATGGCTAGACAGAAAGTGGCACCTGCTGGCGGGTGTGTGGGCTGGAAAGTGGGGCCAGTTACTTTGAACTAGGCATCAATGCCCATTGACATGTATGAGAGCTGAATGGGATGAGGGATAGACTTGTCCAGTCTGCTGTACATACTGGCAAGCATGGGAACCAGGGCAGGGGGCAGGCCTAGTGGGGGTAATTGCGGGTTGTTCCACCTAGGCTGCTGGTTTGTGTGGGGGCCAAGTGTGTGGGGAGCAGGTTCGGGCTGAGCTGCAACACCTATTGGTTTGTGTAAAAGACAGGGCTGGAAACAGAACTGACCCAGCAATTGCAACAGCCAGCATATGCATAAGCTGATTGGGCCGATGGACTGTGCCGGACCCTGTATTGGCAAGCCACACACAAGAATCAGGTCTGAGAATCAGCTCAGATGAAATTCCTTTGGGGATCCTTCCAACTGAATCGCTGGACTCAGAATCCCATCCATGAAGAGAACTGCAGGTTCCGTCGTCTGACCGTGGAGTGCATGTGTCGAAGCTGAGCCTCTTCAGTGGTTTAGATGTAGCAGTAGACAGCATATCCAGGTGCACATATCCAGGAGAATATCGCAGTACATTAGAACCTATGG